TTAGCTGGGTGTGGTGGTGTGCGCCTGTAGTCCCAGCTACTCAGGAGGGTGAGGCAGGAGAATTGCTAGAGCCCAGGAGGCAGAGGCTGCAGTGAGCCAAGAACACACCCCTGCACTCTAGCCTGGGCAAAAGAGCAAGACTCCACCTCAAGAAAAAAAAACAAAAGATACGCAAAGCTTCTAATGCTATCTTACAGAATTCTGTTTAGCCCTAATCTGTTCAATATTTATTCAAATTAAGAATAAAGCTATAACAAGAATGCTTGGCCAGGTGTGGTGTCTCGTACTTGTAATCCCAACACTTTGGAAGACTGAGGTGGGAGGATCACTTGAGCAAAGGAGTGGGCAATACAGTGAGACCCCCATCTCTATAAAAAATAACAATAAAAGGATCAACACGATAAAAAGATGGGCTATATTTAACAGGAAAAATTTCATAAGGATAAATATTAGGCTCAAAAGAATCAAGTACAGAAATAAGATGAGGAAATCAGCCTAACAGCATTTTATATAATAGCCAACATATTTCAAGCACTTCATGCATTGTTCAAAGAAACTCACAAATACTGATTTATGCAACAAGTCATCTAATGCACACCTACTACATGCCACTCTCAAGCATCACAGTTTATATCAGTGAAAAGACATGAGCTTATATTTTAGTGGCAGATGGCAAACAAAACTCAAAACAAAAAGTAAACTAGTACAATAAATGCAATAGGTAAAAGTAAAGAAGAAAAGTTGACAGGAAGCCTATGTATACTCTGATTATTAATTAGGATGGTCAGAAAAGGTCTCAGAGAGGCAGAGTCTTGAGCAGACCTAGAAGAGGTGAGGTAATAAACATACAGATATCTACAGGAAGACTCTTCTAGGCTGTATGCACAAAGCTTTTCAGGTATAGTGTGCCTGACATGTTTGAGCAACACCAAGAAAGCCAAACAGGCTGGATTAAACAGAAACAGGAGACCAAGTCAGATAGGTAACAGGATGGGGAAAGATAGAGATAATGAAAAGCCATGCAAGACAGGACATTAACAGGAAGGATTCTGGCTTTTACTCTGAGTGACATGGGAAGCGACTGCAGAGTTTTGAGCAGACATGGAATGATGTGACTTACGTTTCTAAATGGTTATTCTAATTACTTTAGATACACTGAGAAGGTAAAGTCACTAGATTGAAGATATAAGAGGTATGAAAGAGATTTCTAATGGATGCCTTCAAGATTTCTATCTTGGGCCGGGCGTGGTGGCTCAAGCCTGTAATCCCAGCACTTTAGGAGGCCGAGGTGGGTGGATCACGAGGTCAAGAGATCGAGACCATCCTGGTCAACGTGGTGAAATCTCGTTTCTACTAAAAATACACAAAAATTAGCTGGGCACGGTGGCGTGTGCCTGTAATCCCAGCTACTCAGGAGGCTGAGGAAGGAGAATTGCCTGAACCCAGGAGGCGGAGGTTGCGGTGAGCTGAGATCGCACCATTGCGCTCCAGCCTGGGTAACAAGAGTGAAACTGTCTCGGAAAAAAAAAAAAAAGATTTCTATCTTGAGCAACTGAGAAGGTAAAGTTTCCATTACCAACATGAGAAAGACTGCATAGGAGTAAAGATCCAGAGATTTTAGGTTTAGGATACCTATTAAATATCCAAAAGGAAATAATCATGCATATTAATTTGTCAGCCTAAAGTCTGGGGAGTGTATGTAGGCTAGATACATAAATGTTGAGTTGTCAGGGTACAAGTAGTGAGTAAAGCAATGAGTGAAGGGAGTGAACACAGACAGAGGAAATGTAGAGGAACAGACCACCAGGATACACAATCATTTTTAAAGTCACCAGAGATGAGAAGGGACCAGAACTCATTCAGTATTCACATATTTAATTTCCATTGACACCTTAAAAACTATTATTCCTATTTTATAGTCGAGGTAGCTGAAACAGATTTAACAATTGTCCAGGGATATTATATGTAAAAAGTTCTAAATCATCAGGGTTCAAACACAGGCAATCTGGCTTCAAAACAAAAAAACAAAACAAAACAAAGCAAAACAAAACAAGCCTCAAACTGTATGTAAGATTTTTATTATATCCTGGCTGGTACACTTTAAAAATACTTTAGGAGGTGCTCAATAAATGTTAATTATAATTATCATCATCATTATTTTAGGAATGTATGCAATAATTGTTCCACAAAATTACAGTCATAGGAACGTCACATACTATTTTCCCAGTCTGAGCCACAAGGGCACCAAGTGAGTAAATGACGTTTTTCCTCTTAAATCTAAATACTACTTTTTTTCCCCGTTTTTATTAGCAGTCAACTAAATTAGTCAATTATTTTCAGGACAAAAGAAAATACTATATGTATGAGTGTGTGTGTATGTGTATCTTAATCATTATTTGACTCAAAAGAGCATAAAGTTTCTAAGTATGTCATCTTAAAGCATCGATTTTGAAAACAAACTGATGCAGTTTCATAGTATAAGAAACTGATCTAGGCCAGGTGTGGTGGCTCACGCCTGTAATCCCAACACTTTGGGAGGCCAAGGCGGCAGATCACTTTAGGTCAGGAGTTTCAGACGAGCCTGGCCAACATGGTGAAACCCCCGCTTCTACTAAAAGTACAAAAATTAGCCTGTTGTGGTGGCACACATCTGTAATCCCAGCTACTCAGGAGGCTGAGGCATGAGAATCGCTTGGAGTGCCACTGCACTCCAGTCTGGGCAAGAGAGCAAGACTCCTTCTCAAAAAAACCACAAAAAACAGAGAAACACATTTAGCTACATTCTAGCTTTAACTGTCTAGAACTCTCTGTGATGATGGATATGTTCTATGATAATGCCATATATCTGTGCTGTCCAATACAGCATACACAAGCCATCTGTAGCTACTGAGCACTTGAAATGCAGCTATGACTGGGTAACTAGATTTTTAATTTTATTTAATTTTAATTAACTCAGATAGCTTCATATGGCTAATGGCTACCATATCAAATAATATAACTTTAGATTAAGACCCAGTTTTCAGGGCAACAGAACCACAGGTATTTGCCTGCAGCTATAAAATAAACCTAATATGCAAAAGCAAAAGTACAAAATGAGGTGAGCATCAAAACACTGACATGCTTAACAATTATTGTCCCTTTTCTCCCACCAATCCCCACTCTTTTTTAAGGTTACTGGGTAGATTGGTTGGTTTTTAATTACTGCCACCGTTTTCTTTTTCTTTGTTTTTTTTTTGGGAGAAGGAAAGAAAAAACATGAGTAAAGGAGAGGAAGAAAGAGGAAGAGAAAGAGGGAGGGTGAACAGAAATATTGCTTTATTCTGAAAAAAAAAATGGGTATTAATAATGGCCAATGAATGGTTCATTTAAACCTATGAGTAGGTGTGATGTGGTATTGACAAGAATGTATATTTTGTGTATTTGGAGAGCTCTATAAATATTTATTAAGTTTACTTGTTCTGGATCTGAGTTCGAGTCCTTGATATCCTTATTAATTTTCTGTCTCATTGAGTCTAAGTCTCTATGTATCTGGGTGTTAGGATCGTTAGCTCTTGTTGCATCGATCCTTTTACCACTATATCTTGGTTGCTTTAAAATCTATTTTATCCGATACGAGAATTGCAACTCCTGCTTTTTATTTATTTCTTTATTTATTTTTGCTCTCCATTTGGTTGGTAAATCTTTCTCCATCCCTTTGAGTCTTTGTGTATCCTTGCATGTGAAACAGGTCTGGATGTAACATGCCGTTGGGTTTTGGCTGTGTCTTTTGATTGGGGGATTTAGTCGATTTAAATTTAGGGTTACTGCCATTTGATGTTAACTGGCTGTTTTATCCATTCGTTGATGTAAATTCTTCTTTATGTTGATGCTCTTTACTTTTTGGCATATTTTTAGAAGGGCTAATACTGGTTGTTTCTTTCTGTGTGTAATGCTTCTTTCAGAGGCTCTTGTAAAGCAGGCCTGGTGGTAATAAAATCTCTGAGTACTTGCTTGTTCATAAAATATTTTATTTTTCCTTCAGTTGTGAAGCTTAGTTTGGCTGGATATGAAATTCTGGGCTGAAGGTTCTGTCACCGTTTTCTAAACACTACGTGCTAAGTTAATTTAAAGCCATCTCTCTGTTCCCTGCCACCACACACACAGGATCCTCTGAGTAAACCAAATTACAGAATGAATATACAAGACGCGTCTCATTTTCTGTCTCAAATTCCACCTACTGGAAGCCTAAACAGACAGGTGGCTCTTTCGAGATCGCAGCCCTCCTCGGACACCTTCCCAATGGGGCTCTAAGGACACACGGCGACAGGGGCATGGAAGGCGCGGTTTTGGATTTCGTGGAGTAACGGTAAAGTCACCCTCATAAGTGAATGTGTGGGTGTGTTCAGATGAGGAAAGGAACCCGGCAGCAGCCACAAGGGAAGAATCTAGTGACCGCGTGCGACACGACACGACAGGAGGGAACAGATACCCAGGCAGGCCCGGAGTTACCTGCACATCCCCAGGGAAATAGAGGACGTGATGCTGGGGCGGCGGCTGCGGCTCCTCCTTCGCAGGGTCCCCGGGGAGGTCCTGCAGCTCCAGCCCCTCCCCGGCGGTCGCTAACAGGAGCAACTCGTTGCTGCGCTGAGGATCGGCTCCGGGCACAGTGGACAGCTGCAGGCACTGCCGGCGGCGCACTTCGGCCGAGCGGGAGCATCGCGCGCCGCTGCTGCCGCCTGGGTTCATGGTTCTGGCCTGAGAGCAGCACCAGGCGTTTCCGATTCCGAGCTGCGGCAGCAGGAGCAGCAGCGGCGGCGACCGCAGGAGCCTGAACCCCAACATGGGTCGCCGCCGCGAGAGCGGTTCGGAGGTTGAGGGTGGCGGGAGGGGGTTCCTAAAGGAGGGACTTCAGCAGGCGGCCCAACGGTCGGCGGCCGCAACCCGGCCGGGAGCCGGCGCTGGCGCGACGACGTCAGAGGCCGACGTCCGCGCGCAGCGTGCGAAAGGAAAGGAAGGGAGGGGTGTGCGCAAAATCGGGTTTGGGTTCCCGTAGGGAACGGTGGGCGTGGCTTGAGGAAGGACATTTGTGATTGGTGGGTTCTGCCGTGACCGGGAAGTTCGAACGGAAGTCTGGGGAAGAGCCGGCGAAGTGCCAAGACTTGAAGAACCGAGTACTACCAGCTGGAGCTAGCGGCAGTTGTGGCGCATGCGCAGCAGCCCGGGTGGCCGCACGTCGCCGTTCAGCAATATGTAACGTATAGACTTCTGCATATACCAAGCTCCCTGTTTCTGTAGGTTCACTTGCGATTTATCTGGTCTTTCAGGACTTGAAAGGGAGACAGTCCCAAAGATGTGAGTAATTCTGTCCGTGAGAAGTCTTCTACATGCCCTGGAGGAAGGGAATCTCTCTCCTCAAACCTTGAGTTTCATAGGTAGAATTATTATAGATACACGAAGATCGCTGTGTTCATGGGGAATTTGTGGTTATTTATGAAGCTAATTCACCTCTGCTTGGTAGCGAGAAACAGGGCACGTGGTCGAGGACAGGAAAAAACGGGGCGAAGCACAACGCATTACTTGGTGTTTTGCAACTGATGAGATTTGCTATTTGGAGGTTTTCAAAACTAATTTAAACAGTGTAGGAAAGTCATATTTGTCCAGCAACTGTCTGTGTCCAGTTGAGTAGGAATAAGATTTGATGAAATATATGCTCACACCTGTAATCCCAGCGCTATGGGATGCCGAGGCAGAGGATCACTTGAGTCCAGCAGTTTGAAACCAGCATGGGTAACATAGGGAGGCCTTGTCTCTACTAAATTTTTTTGTTTTTAATTAGTCGAGCATGGTGGTGCGTGCCTGTAGTCCAAGCTACTAGGAAGGCTGAGGTGGGAGATTGGATCGCTTGAGCCCAGGAGTTGTATACTGAGATGAGTTGTGATCCCACCACTGCACTCCAGCCTGGGCAACAGAAGCAGACCCTGTCTCAAAAAATAAACTAAAAACAAACAAACAAAACAGGAAAATGTGTGCATGCGAGGATGAGATCCAAGTACTTGTGAGACAAAGCACTGTAAAGAAACTTTGGGAGAGAATATTAATGAGAATTACAAAAACTACAGCTAATATTTATTCAGGGTTTACTATCAGCCAGAAATCTAACTAAGCATTTTATATATAATTGTTCTGAGTGTGTATATGTGTATTTAAGCACACATACTGTTTTATTTGGTCTACATATGCAAATATTAACAAATGGCTTGGAGAAGGAACATAAATGAGCAAATTTTGTGTGTGTGTGTATATATATTATATACACAATATGATACACACACACACACACACCCCCTTAGTGACAGTATGCTAACCTACGGTGGTCTAAGTTATTGCATTCCATCTAACATCAAAATATTGTTATCAACCAAAAATTATTCAATTAATTACTAAGGAGATCTGCTTTCTAAAATAACTGGTTTAAAGCAAGTAGAGATTAATTATACAATAATGAGTATATAATTACATTTAGGCAACCAGACTTCACTCTGTTTTGCCAATTTCATACATGTTACTTACCATTGTTAAATACAGGATTGCTGAAATGTAATCTAAAAGTCCAAACATGTACGTGAATTGCAAATGCAGCTTTTGATTTGTGGTCTTGTTTTTAGCTTGGATTTTTAATGAAATCTACTTTTTTTTTTGTTTTTTTTGAGACCAAGTTCTCACTTTGTCACCCAGGCTGGAGTTCAGTGGCACAATCTTGGCTCGCTACAATCTCCACCTCCTGGGTTCAAGCATTTCTCCTGCCTCAGCCTCCTGTAGCTGAGATCACAGGTATGTGCCACCATGTCCAGCTAATTTCTGTATTTTTTTAGTAGATAGGAGGTTTCTCCATGTTGACCAGGCTGGTCTCGGACTCCTCATCTCAGGTGATCCACCCACCTCGGCCTCCCAAAGTGCTGGGATTACAGGCAGGAGCCACTGCCCCCAGCCTTAATGAAATCTATTCTTATTGAAGGAGATGGAGAATGTGTTTTAGAAGAAAATTGTAGCAAATATTAAATACTACAAAGTTGTCTCAGTATCTCTAAGATATTTAAGGTCTTTGAGAAATACAAGTAAAAATTTAAAGGGTAGAGTACAGAAACAGACTAAAGTAAGCACAAATGTTTCCCTGCAGTCAAGAGATTTGTGCAGCCTTATAGGAGACACTTCCAGAGAAAGTAACCACTCCCAATTTATTAGCTGAGGTATGTATGTCATTTATGTTAAGTCACTGATGCTGTAATTCCTTCTCACAGGTCCCCTTGATATTACTATAGTATTTTCTGTCTCCATCCCTCTGTCTTCTGCTAGGAGACCAATTTTGTAAATCACTGCTTTTCTAACAATCACTGGCACAGATGGCCGAGCATTCTCCCTTTTTATTCTGTCTCAGAGCTGACTTTCCATCCCAGAATGAGATCTTACATATACAAAGTTACTCTAATCCGTTGTGTGAGTCTTCTCTTCTCTAACTGATAGGGTTCTGCACAGAGATTTTGTTAATGCTTAATAGTGTCCAAAAAGCTTTAGTACACCTCTGGACTCTTGAGAGTTCTCAAGGGATCCTGCTGAGCTCTCAGACCTTTTTAATGCTATTCAATATAATAGAAAAGTTGCAAAATTGGAAGGAATCTGAGAAAGGCTACTTTACATTGGAAAGGACAGCATTAAAAAGCACCAACTTCAGTAACTGCAGGGGCCAGGTCTATATTATAAACAGTAAAATTGTCTATAAGTAAACAATAGTGAGTGTAAACACTGGCAAACTACAGAGACATGTCATATTTGAAGAAGGCAGTCACTATTCACTACTATCCAGTTGTAAAATGAAGACAACATTTTCCCAAATCTTCAAATTTTTAAGAGATTTCTCAACACAAATCAAATACAGATTTTTATGTTTCATTTGCCAACTTGTAAATGTTGACAACTAATTAAATTTGCTTGTAAAACACTATTAAATTAAATGCATGTATTTGGCCTATGGGCCACAAATATACAACTTCTCTACTAGTAGAGGTGAAATGAGTGGATATAGAAAAGCAGGAGATGGGGGAAAAAAAGACAAAACAAAAAGACTGAGTGTGGTGGCTTACTCCTGTAATCCCAGCACTCTAGGAAGCCGAGGCAGGTGGAACACTTGAGGTCAGGAGTTCAAGACCAGCCTGACCAAGATGGTGAAGCCCTGTCTCTACTACAAATACAAAAATTAGCCAGGCATGGTGGTGGGTGCCTGTAATCCCAGTGACTCCAGAGGCTGAGGCAAGAGAATCGCTTGAATACCGGGTGGCGGAGGTTGCAGTGAGTGAAGCTCACGCCACTGCACTCCATCCTGGGCAACACAGTGAGACTCTGTCTTAAAAAAAAAGCAAAAGACAAAAGCCCTTAATTGTGGCTTGCTCTGAGCAATTGAGAGGGAAAAGAATGGGGAAAAGATTTTTTTTTTTTTTTTTTTAGATGGAGTCTCTCTCACTCTGTAGCCCAGGCTGGAGTGCAGTGGCGTGATCTTGGCTCACTGCAACCTCAGCCTCCTGGGTCCTGGTTCAAGCAATTCTCCTACCTCAGCCTCCCAAGTAACTTGGATTACAGGTGTGAGCCACCAATGCCCAGCTAATTTTGTATTTTTTAGTAGGTACGGGGTTTCACCATGTTGGCCAGTCTAGTCTTGAATTCCTGACCTCAGGATCCGCCCGTCTCAGCCTCCCAAAGTGCTGGGATTACAGGCGTGAGCCACCGCGCCCGGCTGGGGAAAAGATTTTAAGAAGTTCTGTGAGATTTTAATTGGATCCCATTTGATGTTCTTTAAGAGTTAAAAAAAAAAGTTTTAAAAAATTATTTTTGGTTTTGAACAGGTTTTTTTTTGTGTGTTTTAATAAGCTTCTGTGCCAAAACTGGGCCTTGAGAGGAACAGGCTTCATGTGAAGTATGCTACTCTAGCATATAATTTTGCTCCCAAAATGCCTGATAAAATAAAAATTAGAGAATAGAACCATTTGGGGATTTGAAAGCATATTCTTTGGCTAGTTTCACTAGCTAAGTGATACCATGTACACTGTTCCTGTGGTATGTAATTTACTAAACATATGCTTCCTCAAAATGCAAATCACTACATGTCAAAACCTTATAGATTATCTTTAGCACTCAATGAATCCTCAAATGCAATAATTAGCCAACAGTACTTGAATATATTGTACTTTACCCACTGTTAAATGGTTGAAAAAAATGAATCAATTTAAAATATAACAAATTCTTAACAAAATACTAACTGATATGGTTTGACTCTGTGTCCTTATCTAAATCTCATCTCAAATTATAATCCCCATGTGTCAAGGGAGGGACCTGTAATCCCCACATCTTGAGGAAAGGAGGTGATTGGATCATGGGGGCTGTTTCCCGCATGGTGTACTTGTGATAATGAGTGAGTTCTCACGAGAGCTGATGGTTTTATAAGTGTTTGACAGTTCCTCCTTCACTTCTCTCACTTCTGCTGCCCTGTGAAGCAGGTGCCTGCTTCCCCTTCCCCCATGATTATGTTAACTGAGCCCTCTCCAGCCATGCAGAACTACGAGTTAATTAAACCTCTTTCCTGTATAAATTGCCAAGTCTCAGGTATTTCTTTATAGCAGCATGAGAATGGACTAATCCACAAGCCAAACCCAGAAACATATGAAAAGAATTATATATCATAAAAATGTGGGATTTATCCCAGGAATGCAAAGCTAATTTTTAATCTCTGAACATCTATTAACATTATATATATCGTATCAATAGAATAAAAAACAAAAATGACATAATCATCCTAATAGGCACAGAAAAAACATTTAACAAAATCTAACACTCTTTTATGATTAAAAACACTCAACAAACTAGGAGTTTAAGGGAACTTCAACCTAATAAAGGGCATTATGAAAAACCCACAACTAACATACTTAATGATAAATGACTGTTTTTCCCCTAAGAATAGGAACAAGATAAAGATGTTTACTCTTGCTACTTCTAATCAATATCATCCTGGAAGTTCTAGCTAAGGCAGTTAGGCAAGAAAAAGAAATAAAAGCTATTTAGATTGGGAAGGAAGGAGTAAATCCAAGCAGATGACAGCATCTTGAATATAGAAAATCCTAAGGAATCCACTAAAAAATGGTTATAAATAATGAACAAGTTCAGCATGATACAAAATACAAGTCATATTTCTATATGACAGCAATAAAAATATAACAATTCCATTTACATTAATATCAAAAGATAGGAATAAAGTTAAAGAAATGCAAAAATTATATAGTGAAAGCTACAAAACATTGTTCAAAGAA